AGTGCTGGACACTTTGCTTAAGAACAGACATTTTGGAAACAGAAGTTACTGGCTTACAGGATAGGTAGGGCCATGGCCAGAGGTGGGATAGTTCAGGGTATTAATAATCTGGTTTTCCTCTTTTCTAGAGACAAGTTTACTTGTGTTTTTGCAGGTCAGTGACCTGCCTCATTGTTCACAACAGTTTTGTTTTTGTTTTGTTGGGGTTTTTTTTCCTATCTGTATTCTTTTAATACAAAGTATAACCTATGTGGATCGTATCCATTGTAGAGTCAATCCATTCTGGAAGTCTTAAAACTTCACAAAGAGACTTTGAGACAGAAACTACCAGCACATGCTTTTCTCCTTTCTGGTCTTTTCTAGGGAAGCTTATACATGCATTCTCTCTGCGGATCCCAGATTGCAAAGCCAGAGACAGCTTTTGTATTTCACTTAATGTTGTTGCCTCTTTCTTCATCAATCACTTGAAACTTATTTGGGCAGCAACATAATCTGAAATCATTTGCACATGTGTATCTTTTGCATAGAACTCCCATTATAAATAGCATTTACTGATTGCAGCTTTTTTTTCTTTTCTTTTTAAACACTGGTAGAGCTGTCGGGAAAGGCTTTTACTGTTGGGCCCAGCACGCAACTGAGAAGTCCTTTGGAGTGGTAATATATGTGTAGCCTGAGAGCGGAAGGCCACATGAAATAACTTTTTTCCCCAATGGAGAATTGAATAACATGAGGTAGTACTCTGATATTCTTCTTTGTGTCAAAGCCAGCTGTGGTCCCAGGGTGGTGGTAGGGGAATCTCCACAAAATTAGTAACGCCAAAGATGCTAGGAGTGGCAGGGTGTGCTAGGATATGGGACCATCATCTCTGTGAAGTGTTAAAGTTTCTAATTGGAATGCTAAGCCACTGCATAATGCATAAAATATCTTGACATCCTTTCTATATGGCAGTTCCAATGTGCTTCTTTTTATTCCTCTTCCCTCTCCACCTTTTTGTCAGTGTTTCCATGGGGTCCTGTACCACTATGAAGTATTACCAATTTGCTGCTTCACTTTGATTTTCTAGATGTTCACCATCTGTACAAGTGACAATTACAAGTGAACTTACATTGTTCTGAGACTAAGAATTCTTAAGGCTTCTTTGAGGACAGCTGGTGCAGACCAAGTAAGAAGGCTTGGGGCTGGGCTGTGTAATGCTCTTTCCAAAATTGTAAACAGCCCAGCATGCTGTCCTGAAACACCCTGCAGGGAGAAGACTGTTAAGAAAACAAAGCTGCCAATTGTAGAGGAATTTCTGACTCTACTTTCAGAATTGTGGTGGTGCCCTGGACCACAGCCAGGGCATCAGCTAATCTTCCAGTTGTTGGAGTCCACTTTTGGTCATTTTGATTAAAAAACAACAACAAAAAGCCCCAACAACAAGAAGAAAACAGAAAAATACCAATCCTGGAACAGTTCCTTGTTTTGGTGGTCAGCTGTTTGTCAGTTGTGATAGCATGGGTATTAACCTGCAACTGAATCAGTCCACCACTTGCCTGGACAGGTTTGATCCAGTGAGCTGCAAGTTTTCTTTATGCCGAGGCCCGAGAAGGATTTTCAAACCCACTGTGCTTCATTTAAACTTTGTTAGTCAGATGGCTACTGAGTAGCTATAAATATGGTTGTTAACTTCCACGGTTTATCTGCTAATAGTATTTAATAATGTGCTGTCATTATTAGGCTTCTTATATTTGAACAAAATATCTGGAGTCGGTGGGTATCTTTACTAGATTAGAGAAGGTACTCACTCCTTTAAAACAAATAAACCAAAAAACAACAAAAACCCCAAACAAAGCTGAACATATGATCCAATAATAAGGTTAAAGGCTTCCTGCTAAAGTGGGCGAAGGTAATGACCATATCTACACTGCACCTGTTTCTCCATTTGAAGGCTCTAATTTTCTGTGCCAGTCTGAAGTGTTGCTGAATGTGTCACCAGCTTGTGGAGAGTGGTTACTGTGTTCAGGCTGATTCAGATAAAGGAGTAAACTTTCCTCTTGCAAGGCACGGATAAAGCTTGGGATCCAGGGTAACACTGGAGTCCCAGCCCTATGCAGTGTTTTCTGAAGAGATCCCAACTTTTAAATATGTTGAGCAGGTTAACAGAGAACTGTGTAGGCATTTGAGCCCTGAGTTTCTTTCGTTTTCTTTTCAAATGGGGTAAAGAGGTGAGTCAGAGGAAGCTGAAAAAATGAGGGACAGTCCCTGAGGTAAAAACATCAACTTCAGATATGCTCTGGAGGCTCACATATGAAGTGTTTGCTATAGTCAAATTAGATCAAGAAATTAGTACACATCTGCAAAGATTTAGGTAAGTTGTCTTAAGGTAGGTACTTGATTTTATATAGTGAAGGTGACATGGTCTTTCAATAAGGTGAATGCAAAAGGTTCACTTTGCAGTTGTAGGTGTTGTCTGTTTCTTTATTTTACAATATGTAAACTTGCCCATGGCATAAATAAACATCAAGATGTTTGTTAAACTTCTTGATTTCCTTGTTGCTATTGTACTTCAGGGAACATTAGTCCTTCCGAGAGGACTGAAATGTTCCCAAGTTGTCAGAGCTTGTTCTTTCTCCTGAGTAATTGGGTTCTCTTGCTTGTAAGTTATCAGGATCTTTTAAGTTATTTAGGTTGTTTGTCCTTTACAGCTATCAAAAGGCTATTCCAAAGCTTAATGTTTGAGATCTCTTCAAACTTCCAGCTTATTCTAGCTGCAAGTCTGCTCTTCCATTTGTGTCTGGTTTATGTCTTTATTCTTGGTTTGCTGTAGACCTTGCTCCTTGAATGCACTTGTATGGAATATTCAGCTACTGTTTTATTAATTTTACTAGATGAAACTAGACTTCTAGTTTACTCCAGAAAAATAGCCTTTTTATTGCCTGGACCGTTCTGAGCTGTCCTTCCCCTCTATGCAGTTTACCATCTGAATCCAGTCGTTTCTGAATGTGGGTGACGGGTGCTGTTTGCAGAATCCAGATGAGGATTTATTAGTGTTTACTGAAAAATTATTTTTGGTTTAGTGATTCCTGTATTAGACTGTGCCTTTGGCTGTATCTACTCCAGTTATCCTTGTTCTAGCATTTTTGGGTCTGGGCTTTTTTAATCTGTACAGTTGCTTTTAAGAATCCACTTACAGCTTGACATCTTTAGTTTTTGTGTTGCTTTCCAGTAAGGCTTTTGTTTTGTAGAATAATTCCTACCTAATGTTTGGCTGACTTTAACAGATTCTCGAAAGAAGGCTTATTTTACACTGCAGAGTTTAGCTTCTCTAAAATAGATTATCCCCATGCTGTTCACATTAAGCATCAGGGAATTTCCAGCTAGCTTGTATTTCTCTCTGGTGAATTTATTTTCTAGGAAGAGGGATGCCTTCTTCATCACTTCAGTACCCTTTATTGTACTTTTACAAATGAAAACTGGTCTGCTTTATTAGAACTCATTTTCCTGGCTTATCTCTTCAGACAGCTCCTCCCTATAAGCAGCAGCTGTCTTAAATCATCTGCTCTGGAGGTTTTTTTAGGGAGAGTGGGAGGAAAGAAATGTTTGCTAGTGACTGTTCTGAGTTCTGTCATTTAACAATTCATCTCTTCTTGTGGACATGAACCGTTTTCCCCTGTGTGTGTGTTTTTTGCTTTTTTAAGTTGCCACTTCCTTCCAATATTGATGGTTTTGTTCAGTGTAGCATGAACCAAGCAGGATTTATCTTTAGATCTTTACATTCTAAAGAAATAACAGACTAGTATATGCGCTCTGCTGGGATCAAAAGGTAATAGCATTGTAGCAGTGTTTCTTGTTTTATGTGTTCTAAGGAACTTCTTGTTCCTGGAGAGCTTTTGATGGCAAACTGCGATGTATGAGACCATTAAAAAGCTGGTAACTTGGTTGCTCTTAGGGTCACTATATTTAATTCTTTCAATAATTAACTTTTTTTCTAGAAAATGGGTATTAATGCTTTCTTTAGCAGCTCAAAGTGTACTAAAAGCATTAATCTTTGTCATTGTGCATTACTTGGGTGAACTGTTGTTCTAAAAGGAATGTAGATGGAAAGATGATGTGCAGACAGGCAAAGTGAATCATCTTGATGGAGTTGTACAAGATGCCACTCCAGTGTAAAGTTTTGGTCTGATACATGGTTGTTTTCATAAATTGTAAGCTATTGTGATGGAGCTGGAAGTAATTTGGACTTGAGGTCTATCAGTCATCTGACCTTTGCAGGGGTAATAATTACTATTACTGAAATTTGTATAATTGCCCAGAGACTCCTCTGTCATATTGTCGATTTTTTTTTTTAATGCTATTCCTCTAGCTATCAGTCAGGCTTCCCAGATAGGACCTAAGTCTTCAAGGTGTAAAGTATGTCTCTTCATAAATATATTTTTTTTTAATTTATTATATACAGCAAGAGATGAAGGGAAGGGAGGTGTAAAGTATGTCTCTTCATAAATATATTTTTTTTTTATTTATTATATACAGCAAGAGATGAAGGGTAGGAAAGGAGTTTCAAGGCCAATTTTTTATTCTCTTTAGGTGTGGTGTGTCTAGGGCATACATACAAGGAAAGGGCTGGATGCTTTCAAACACCTTTCAAAGTAATCTTTGGCTGCAGAAGTGTCAAAATTGGGCCTCAATATGTCTCTTCATAAATATATTTTTTTTTTATTTATTATATACAGCAAGAGATGAAGGGTAGGAAAGGAGTTTCAAGGCCAATTTTTTATTCTCTTTAGGTGTGGTGTGTCTAGGGCATACATACAAGGAAAGGGCTGGATGCTTTCAAACACCTTTCAAAGTAATCTTTGGCTGCAGAAGTGTCAAAATTGGGCCTCAATAATGGAAGAAAGTAGCAAAAGCTGTGGGGGAGGATAGATTTTCCTCTTAAGTCTATTTTTTTGGGATTTAAAGCTCTTACTTCATCCAGGTGATCAAGATAAAAGCTGCCTTCCTTATAATTTTCTTCCCTTTCTAGGTTTCCATGAAGATAAATAATTGAAATGTGGATAGCCTACTTGTAGCTTGGTGGTGGTTGTCATCTGGAACCTGCTGGTGTCTGCTCCCAGTAGTTGCCGTAACGTTTGCTGCCGAGAGCCATGAAGGTTGTACCGGAAAAGAACGCTGTCCGCATCCTGTGGGGTAGGGAACGGGGTACCCATGCCTTGGGTGCTCAGCGGCTCCTGCAGGAGTTGGTGGAGGATAAAACTCGATGGATGAAATGGGAGGGCAAGGTAAGGTTGTGGGATAGACGTGTATAGCTTGATCCTGGAGTGGGAGAAGGGAGGCAGGGATTTGAAATAAATTGTTGTCTGATTGTACATTTGATGTGCTCTCTGGCTCTGTTCAGTTCCTGCAGTGATGTAATACTAGATATGTTCCTGCAGCGGGTTCCCCTTGTTGTCTGTGTGGCTTACAGTTAAAGTATGATCATATGACACTTGCAACACTTCCTGCTTTGTTGGCTTTTTCAGAAAGTTGAGTTACCAGACAGTCCACGCTCCACCTTCTTGCTGGCGTTTAGTCCAGACAGGTAATTAACTCCTAGTTCGTTCCCTGTTTCAGCAGTCTCCTTACACTTACAAAAGTGGTGGAGGCTTGTGCCCGCTGAGTTGTCCAGTCCTGAATAGCTGAGTGAAACTTCTGGTTCCTGACGTGCATGGATGGAACGTGCGCACCTTCCTAATCTCACAGCTTCGAGCATAGTTGGTGTTTAATTTCTGAGGTACCCAAGCGCTGCATAGTTCTAAGGAAAAAGGATCTGTGTGGCCACCATGGGATTTCATCAGAAACTTGAGGGAATAAAGGGTGTTTTAGCACAACATGCCAAATGATGTGGTGCACCCACTGGGATATCAAGGACTAAAGAACAGAGCAGAATCATGCGTGTATTGGAAACAGAAATGGAGGTGGGATCTCTCTTAGCATCACTTGATTTGACAGTGATTGAGATGGTGTGGAGAATTGGGAATGTTTATTTGCCCCAAATTGGCACTCAGGAGTTCCTTCTGAGCTGCATGTTCACCCTGACTTTCAAGGTCAAGTGTGTGCTTGCAGATCTGATGAGCTCATGTTTGCATGGACCCTGAAATCCGGCCACAGGAAGCTTTGTGGCCATCGGTGAAACAGTAGCCTCTTACCCTTTGAGCGTGGGGCTCTGTGTGGGAGAGCTGCTGGGTTAGGTATAAACAGACCCCGTTAAGATGAAGCTAACCATGGTCTGGTTTTGTTATACCCTTCTCGTGCTAATGTTTATCCTATCTTCTGCATTCCCAGGACCCTCATGGCTTCCACACACGTCAACCACAATATCTACATCACAGAGGTGAAAACGGGCAAGTGTGTTCATTCCTTGGTTGGGCATCGCCGCACTCCCTGGTGTGTCACCTTCCATCCCACCATCCCAGGCCTCATTGCTTCAGGATGCCTAGATGGGGAGGTTAGAATCTGGGATTTACATGTAAGTCTTTCCTGAAATATATATGCCTTTGTCTTTTGGTGGGTGGTGACTGTTTTTTGTCTGAGTTTGTTTCCCAAACATTTTCTGGCAAGAGAGCTGTTTGGAAGCTTTGCTGGGACCTGTCTCTAAAAGCATAGAACATGTCATAGCCATCCTCTATTGTATAGAGAGGAGGTGACAGATTCTTCATTCAGTCCAGCGAGGTACCTCATGCTTGTTAGCCTTGCCTGTTTATTTGATTAAGAGTAGTACAGATAATACTGGATAACTTTGTGCAAGCTGCCCATTTAGCCTTATGTGAGAGACTTGCCATTTTTCATTCCACTGACCATATCTGAACCCTTTGTTAGAGAAGCTGCTGCTTTGCCAGTTCTGCCTAGTCTGGTGATTGGCACAGAGACAAAATATGTATACTTACCTGGTTGCTTTGAAGTGCAGCATTTTTACTGGCTGCTTGAGACACTCTTACCTGCAAAAATACATCTGTGGTCCTTGTTTTAAGCAGTGTTTTGTTCTAGACATGACACATGACCATGCTCCAGGCAGGGTCTTGGGAGAAATAGCACATACATGTAAATGTAATGATCTCAAACTGTGTGATAAACTGCTTGTGATTCTTAATTCCTCACGCAGGGTGGAAGTGAGAGCTGGTTCACAGATAGCAACAATGCCATTGCGTCACTTGCTTTTCATCCTACGGCTCAGCTCTTGCTGATTGCGACTGCCAATGAGATACATTTCTGGGACTGGAGTCGTCGGGAGCCTTTTGCAGTGGTGAAAACAGCCAGCGAAATGGAGCGGGTCAGGTAAGTTCCTGTTTCTGGGGGAAGAGAACACTTGCTTGTGAAAAGTGGTCAGATTTGGGGAATGTGAGGGTTTCCTCTGGGATGCTGCACCCTCTGCTCTGAGGCAGTGCAGAGAAGCTTTGCTTGGAGCTCCTTGACTCAGCTGGTAGAAAAACAGTTCTGCGGGCAGGAAAAAAAGCAATTGGAAATAACAGATCAGCTTGGTTGTTCATATTTGTAATTGGATGTGTGTACAGTAGACACCCAGGATCTACTTCATGTTCATTGGTAGGCTTAGGTTGAGAGAACCTAGCAGTTGCTGCAAGAGAGTGCTGGGCTATTACTTAAGTGCAGTTATAGAGGAAACTGCATTGCTGGAAACTTGATGCCTTCTTTTGAGCAATTTAAAAGAAGACAATGATGTAACATTCAAGGGAAGTTAATCTCTCCCTTTGTACCAAATTCAATTTTATAATACGTGCGTACATATTCCTTAAAATTTCCTAACTATTTCAATTGATACAGCAGTACTTGCTTCCAGCTTTTAACTGCTATATAGTGTGGCAGTGAACTATAAAATAGATTCAGTCTTCAGCTAGATAAATATGTATTCTTCTTCTTAATGCATAAGCTTTTTGACATCCTTCAGAAGAAGATGATGGTAATGTAGTAATACTCTCATGGCAAATATTTCATGTGGGATTTTCTTCCCTGCTGTGTCCAGCTGCTTCCTGTGTCAATGTGGAGTGTGAACTGATGATTGATACCCGGGCTCTGCTTTTGTTTTAGGCTGGTACGGTTTGATCCCTTGGGACACTACTTGCTCACAGCAATTGTTAACCCTTCTAACCAGCAGGTAAGGGGAATGTTGGTACCCATATTGACTAGTTATGAGATGCTCTACATACATTAACCCGAGTCTGTTCCTAAGCAGCCTTGTGCTTTTCTGAAAACCTGAGGTCCTTCTAAGGCCAGTTCTGTCTTGCCTTAATTGGTCACATAAATGCTCTTGTGTTATGTGCAGGGCTGTTAAAGAGCTCTCCAAAGTGTATTTGTTTTGTCCTCACTGTCTTATTAGTGGTGGGACAGATGTCCCAATGGCCCTGCTCTTTCAGTTCTGTTGTGACATTTTGTTGGATTTGAAGCTTCACGAGGTAGTAACAATGCTCCCCACAGCTGCTGACCCTCAGATCCTGATGCTTCTGTTTGTATGAGCAGTGTATTGTTAATGCTTGCTGGGCTGTAGGAGGAGGTTGTCTGGATCCATAAAATGAACTTTGAAATAGCGTCAGCTGGTTTCCTGTAAGTCAAGGCCTCTAGGAAGGGACTTATCACATCCTTTCATCTGTCTGGGATGGTAGCTGGCTTTCTGCTGTTTATTTGGAGGTATAGGATTTTGCTGTGAGGTGACTGAACTTTGATTGCTTCCTTCTGCAGAGCGATGAGGAAGTGGAAATCTCCGTGGACAGCACAGAGATGCCACATTATCGCCAGCGCGCTATCCTTCCGTCTCAGCCTGTGAGGCGCACACCCCTCCTCCACAACTTCCTGCACATGTTGTCCTCCCGCTCCTCTGGCATACAGGTGGGAGAGCAAAACAGTGTTCAAGACTCTGCTACCCCATCCCCTCCACCGCCTCCACCACCTCCGCCTCCAGCCAGTGAGAACACAAGGGCATCTGTCTATAACAGGCTCCGAGAGCGTGTCAGCTATCCCACAGCAGAGTGCTGCCAGCACCTGGGGATGTTGTGCCTTTGCAGCCGATGCTCTAGTGCAAGACTTCCTTCTTCTCTCTTCCCACACCAGGAAAACGCACCCTCCACGTCTTCTGGGGCCACTGGCACTTCTTTCTCCTCTGTGCAGACAGAGCCTTACCAACCCCCAGAGCAGGCATCCGTAGCACAGGAGGAGCAGGGGATACTTAACAGGCCCTCTGCTTTCAGCACAGTTCAGAGCAGCACTGCTGGCAACACCCTGCGAAACCTTAGCCTGGGCCCCACACGGCGGTCCCTCAGCGGGCCCTTGGCAGGCCACCAGTCCCGGTACCAACAGTCTGCAAGAGAGATGGCTTCGGGCTTAGGTGGGTCTGACTGGTCCAGGACAGTGCTGAACATGAGCTCTCGGTCAGAGCTGGAAGCCATGCCTCCCCCTAGGACCAGTGCCTCCTCCGTGAGCTTGCTGTCCGTGCTGAGGCAGCAGGAGGGAGGTTCCCAGGCGTCGGTCTATACCTCTGCGACAGAAGGGAGGGGCTTTCTGGCCCCAGGGGCTGAGGCGGACAGTGGTAGTAGTGCTGGCCCGAGCAATCCAGCCAGCATCCGTAATGAGCTCCAGTGTGATTTGAGGCGATTCTTCCTGGAATATGACCGGCTTCAGGAGTTAGATCAGGGGATTGGTGGGGAGCCCAGCCAGTCTCAACAGGCTCAAGAAATGCTCAACAACAACATTGAGCCTGATCGGCCGGGTCCCTCCCATCAGCAGACTCCACACAGCAGTGAAAACAATTCCAGTCTGTCCCGGGGTCACCTGAACCGCG